TCGCCCTTCAATCCGTCAGCCAGACGCGGTGCGTGGGATTATGTGTGTGCGTGTGTGTTTGTGTGCGTGTGTGTTTGTGTGTGTGTTTGTGCGTGGGCGTTTGCGTGTGTGTGTGTGTTTGTGTTTGTGTGCGTGTGTGTGTGTTTGTGCGTGTGTGTTTGTGTTTGTGTGAGCCGACACAAATGTACAACATTCCTCTCGTTCCCTCGCTGATCCCCCCCCACACACACACACTCGCGACATTTCTCTTGCTTTGCCGCCATTTGACTACGGATCATGGCACAGAACGCGGTGTCGTATGAGGAGGAGGTGCAACGCTACACCACCCCCTTTGTCATGGCAGGCGTCAACAGCAAGGTCTGGACTGGTCTGGTTCGTGGTGCTGACATACCCTTTGCTGTCGTGGTGGCGGTGACAATGTTGGTAGTGTTGATGGTGACGATGTTTGGTGCGTGCTTTGTGGACATTGTCTCGAGTCTTCCCAAGTGTCACTTGCCAAGACCCTTACAGCCTTTCAACTCACTGCAATGCATCTTTGGTCCTGATGTCCTGCTGTGTCGTGCTGTGTGCTGCATCGTGCCTGTGCCCGCTCCCATTGTACATGTGTGGTGTTACATTACGTTTCTCTCATCACTACCTCAGATTGTGCACCGCACCAACTACTTGCTCAACCAGTGAGTCACCCCATTTCGAGATTTGGCGCTTGGTGTTGACGCCTTGTCCAATGCACACACACGCACATACACACACACGCCACTACGTCTCTGCTCACCAATCCCTTCCTCTTTCCCCTTCTTGTGTGTGTGTGTGTGTGTGTGTGTGTGTGTGTGCAGCATCTACGGACCGGAATTCCGCTATCGCGAGAAGAACACGGTCAAGGGAGACGGCTGGGGCAGGTGGGTTGGACGCGAGGGTTTGATGAGAGCCAGCCTGCTTGCTGACTCACTTAAATGCGGGACTGTGCTTGCACACTTTACATGCACGCTTGGATCATCAGCACGATGCACAACCACAAATACAATCACGCACACCGCCCACATCAACCCTGTCACGTCTGACTGTTTTGTTTGTCACCGGTTCACTCTTCCCTTCCACATCAACGCTGCCACCACCGTCACCAAAACCACAACCACCACCGCCACCAGCTGGCTCTCTGGATGGCTGACGACGCTTGGGCTGGGCGCCTTTTCAGTGGGCGCGTACTTCTCCCCCACACGCAACCTCCTTCGCCGCATGCTGCCCAAACCAGGCGAGGGTCCAGACGAACACACGCGCGAGACAGGGAAGCTCGTCATGCGCTTTTATGGTGTTGGTGACAGCGCCGCCAAGCCCAAGGCCGTCGCCACCTTTGTCACGCACCACGACCCAGGATACGGTGTGTGTGTGTGTGTGTGCGTGTGTGCGTGTGTGCGTGTATGTATGTATATATGTTTGTGTGTGTCTGTGTTTGTGTGGTTGAGCAATGCGAGCGATGATTGCACATTGCACGTGTCATCTTGACGTGTGCTATTCTCTCGCATCACGCAAATACGTCTTCATTGGTTTGTACCCCCCCTCCCTCTCCTCACCATCGACACCACCATCGACACACACACACATACACACACACACACACACACACACACACACACACACACACACACACACACACACACACACACACACACACACACACACACACACACACACACACACACACACACACACACACGTGTACAGCCGAGACGGCGACGATGCTTGCTGAGTCAGCAATTTGTCTTGCGCAGGACACGGCCAAGCTGCCCGAGCGCTATGGATTCCTCACGCCCATTGCCGCAATGGGTGACACACTGGTTGCTCGCCTCCAGGCTGCAGGTGATGTGATGTGATGCGGCATGTCTTGTGGTGTCATGATGTCCTGTGTTGGTTTGGGGGAAGGACGAGAGTGCACTGTTCAATGTCTGCGGCTGCACTTTTGTTTTGTGTGTGTGTATGTGCCGCTTGTGCCCCCATACTTGCTTACAGCACGCTTTCCTTTGGTGCACCCACCTGACTTGCACATGGCCTGACCCTTACGCGCCGTACGCGCCGTACACGCCGTATACACATGTCCATGTACACACAGGCATCGACATCACTGTTGAGGACGACAAGAACACGTCCTCCACACCACCGTCCAGCCTCTGATCCTGGCACAGATTGGAACCAATCCCGCATGATGCAATGCATGCTTTCCTTCTCAACCCCCTTACATGCGCCCACAGCACCCCTGGTTTTTTTATGTTTTCTTTCCACACAATTGCGTTCAGTGCGCCCCTCTTACGTCCGTCCGTATCTCATCCTCTCATCGTGCTGTTGGTTTATTCCATTGCGTGCAACGCAATCCATACAAGCAAGACACACTTGATGTTGATCCAACGAAGACACGTGTGTGTGTGTGTTGCAAGTCATTGAGTGAGGACGTACACACACACACACGCACACGCCTGTGCACACACAGCTTGTCAAAGTCATCAGAAAGCACATTGTACACAATGCAAAGCAAACAACCCACACGTATGTACACACTCAATGTCACTGCGTCAACGCACATTCCTTACTCACACGATCCACACAAACACGCACACCCACACACCCACACATGGACACGCGTCAATACACACACCCACCCACCCACCCACACACACACACACACACAAAATGATTCGTTCAAACACGCAACGCAAGCATGTGTACATACACAACATGTTCCCTTGCGTCATCTTGGCTCAAACACGGCTGCCTTAGCGGAAGCAATGTCCGCCTGTGTTGCATCAGGCCGCGGCACAAACGCCAGCAGCCGCTGTGGCCATCCAGCGACGTCCGCGTTGGCCAATGTCCGCATGACACCGACTAGTGTGCCGTCGTTGGAGAAGTAGAGACGCGAGTTGATGCGCAATTGCCCATCCACGACCTTGAGCAGGTGGTGAGTTGGCTTGCCACGGTACATGAGCGCAAGCACATCGCAGTCTTTCTTCTCCATTCTGTAGACGAAGAAGAGGCCGTTGTCTGCGCCCTCATGGCTCCGTATCACCACATCCGCCTCGACCCGCGACATTGTGCCATGATGGAACACGGGCTGATGTTGCTGATGTTGCTGATGTTGCTGCTGCTGATGCTGCTGCTGCTGCTGCTGTTGTTGTTGTTGTTGTTGTTGTTGTTGTTGTTGTTGTTGTTGTTGTTGTTGTTGTTGTTGCGTGTCCACTCTGCTTGCATTGTGGTCCTCTTCCTCTGCGATTGGAGCTAGCAGCGATGCCGAGGCACCTGATGAACACACACGCATGCACATGAACAACCGTTCGTGAGCAGGGCCACAAGCATGATCCCACAAGCAAGCATCATCATGTTCACACATACAGTACAAAGGACACACATTCAAAGCACAGGCATACCCACACATACAAAGCACACACATACACATAGAGCGCGCATTCACCCCCCCCAAACACAATTACATGTGCCATGCTCACCTTGCATGGTGCCTGGCTCACTAATGGCGCTGTCGTCCGCTTCAGCATGACCGCTGCCAACACCACCACTGCCTTTCGCTCTGCTGCCCTTGCTGGTGGGCTGGTGCTTGCGAGGCGTGCTTGTGCTCACTAATGACGGTGATGTTGACACGGGTAGCCCGTCAACCACCCCGTTCCCAGCATCATGGTGACCGGCACCATCATCAATGACGCTGCCACCACCATACACACCGGCACCATCAGCCACGGCGTCATTACCGTCCTCTCCAACATCGCCTTCCTCCTCCATGATTGGGCTGTGCATTGGCAGTGGCTCCACAGCGGGCAGGTTGTCTTCGTCCAGGTCCACGTCCCGCGCCATGGACATGCGTCGTCGCGATGTGTTGAGATCTGCCGCCAGCACAAACTCGGACGTCCGCTGCGGTGACACGGGCATCAGCGCAATTGGGTTGTCTGCAAACGACCCACGTGTCTGAAGCAAGCTGGCGCCATCGCCTGCACCATCAGCCTGCATCAGTACCTGGAACGTGGCCTCCGCTGTTGCTGCAATGCCCATTGCGGATGCAAGCGCCTCCTGCAGCTGGCTCTCCTCCGCGCTGCCAGGAGTGGACAGTTTCGTCAGCACGTCAATGTGCAGCCGCAGTGACACGAGCACATGCACGGCGGCAGACACGCCCGATGTCACCGTGAACCGTGATCCTTGCTCCCGCTTGACAGTGCTCAGCTTCGCGTCTGCCTCCACATTTTCCGTGAGGAAGCGACCGAGTGCGGGCAGGGCACCCCCTGCGTTGCCGCAAAAGTTGGTGAATGCATCACTGCCAATGTGCATGATGTGGCGCAATGGTGCGCCAACGTTGATGGCAAGGGTTGCGTCCCTGCGTTGCACGTCCTTCAGAATCTGGATGGCCTGGCGACAGCTGACGATGCATGCGGCAACATCGCCAAAGCACTGGGCAAGCAGGTCTGGTGGCATCATGCGCTCCACCGCCAAGCCGCACACCTCCAAGTACTGCAGCACGTCTAGTAGATGTTCAAACTCAGACAGCAGCAACTCAAACCGCTGTGCCCGCTCCTCCAGGCTCTTGGGCAGCACCTGACCTGGCGCCTGCGAGGCGGATGATGGCGTGCGTGACAACCCATGCTGTTGTTGCTGCTGTGTGTCTGCGAGCACGGTGCCGCCAGGTGCTGCTGCTGTTACTGCCATGTTGGATGCGCTTGTATGAGACTGCGATCGTGAAAGCGAGCGGGACATTGCTTCGCCTGACAGGGGGCGAGACGAGTGACGTGAGACCGTGCTACCGGCACCGCGACCAATGCTGCCGTCTTGACTTCCACCGAGCACGCCGGTGGCGGTAGCATCATCGACCACGCTGCTGTTGTTGTCGTGCGAGGTGCTCAGGCGCATGCTGGCGTGCTGTGAGGACAGCGAGCGATGCAGTCGGGTTGATCCCGCCATGCCCATGGAGCCACGCGATATGGTGGACTGTGGACGCGTCGTGCGTGCAGATGCAGTTGATGCTGTTGGGGACAACGACGGTGGGGGCGATGATGTTGCTGGTCGAGCACACGCCTCGTCCACATGTGTTGTGACGCTACGCACGGAGGCATCGCGCGTGAGAGCACCCGTGGGCACGACGGACGCCATGGACGCCCTGTTGGACGCATACACGCCAACGAAGGTGCACTGCACGCTGGGGTCGGCCTGAAACGCGCCGGCGGCCTTGGTGTCGCCGCTGCCACGACCACCTGCCTGCCGCCGCTTCATGAGCTCTTGTTTCTTCCTGCGCACGCTCGTCCACTCGCGCTCCTTGGAGAACACACGCCACGTGCCGGTCACGTTACCTGAGGAATCACAGGTGTTGGGGGGTGGGGACAACCATTGAGTGCGTGCGTGTGCGTGTGCGTGTGCGTGTCATGTGTATGTTATTATGTGTGCATGTGTGTGTGTGTGTGTCATGTGTATGCAATATTTGTGCATGCGTGTATCCGTGCCCCTTGTTGTGTAATAACAGCTCACAACCCCTCTTCACCATCACCACCCCCAAACCCCCTCACCAGCTTGCTCGGCATGGTCGTCTGCGAATGCATAGGGGGCGCTGCTGTCGATGCTGTCTGCAATGATCCATGCGCCCCTCGCCTCGTGGAAGAACAGCACGACACCGCGTCCGCGCAGTCGGTACACGGGCCGGTCTGCACACACCTGCCCGCTGTACACGTACTTGCCGTTGATCTGTGGACGTGCAAGGGTGGGTTGGACGGTGGTGAGTGTGGTGGCGGTGAAAGAGGGTGGTGGGACGCAGGATGAGTGTGACGAGGGTGGAGGTGAAGGCAAGGCAAGCCAGTGCAGTGTAATGCAGTGTTGTGTGTCAGCTCTCATGTGTGGATACGCGGAAGTGTGTCGGATGCAAACTACAAGCGCCCAGAGGTGGGTGGCACATGTGCAACAAAACGCGGTGGACATGAACGATGGACTCGGCATGCATTCCGACAACAAACATGCGACACGCAACACAATAATGACACGACACGACCATCACCCCCGTGCACCCAAATTTGATTCCACTTACAAAGGCGTTTGGAGAACTCTCGTGCCTGCCTGAGACGACAACGTCTGGAAAGTGCCCAGCCTGCGCCTGAACCAGCTCATGGCTGACGGGCTGATATTGGGTCAGGCCTTGCTTCATCGGCAGCACCCAGTACCATTTCTTGTCAAGTGTGATTGTGATTGAGGCGGAGGGGGGAGGAGGGGAGGAGGTGAGAAGGTGGTAGTTTGTGTTGTCTGGTGGTGTCATGGTCTTCTTGGGGTGTTGCAATACTTCAGTCACGCAGCGGGGGCACAAGACATGGTCTGTCACTGAAGAGGTGGTGACGCAGTGGTTCAGGTCACAACAGCAATAGCAAGACAGGATGTTCAATGGGAAAGGCAGATCCTTGCAACTGTGCACACACCGGCATGTGGCTGCTCTTCATCAGCACTTCGGCGAGCGAAAAGGTCACGCACCCGTGATACCTGACGCCTGTATTGTGAAAGTGGGCGTCAGTGTGAGATGTTAGTGTGAAATGCGATGCGAAATGTGTGCGCATGTGCCCTTGTACGACTCTGCACTGTGCGTGGCGTTTTGTGGTTGTGGGATTGTGTGGGGGTGTTGAGGGAAGAAGGGACTGTTGCCAGACAGTGAATCTTCATTCGTCATGTGCACATAGAGACGAAGAAGGTCAGAAGATCGGCATCGAAACACAGATTGGTCTTGCCACCAGCAACAACAGTGCAAGAGCTTGAGTTGCTCTCCTTCATAGCCCATGGAGAAAGGGGCTTAAAGGATGGAAAAGGGTGGCGTTGGCACGTAAGAGCAAGGCAGGACCACAAGGGGGTGTGTGTGCACCGTGGTTTGTTTGATGTGTATTGTGTAACGTGCATTGTGTTGGTGGCGTGTGAGCCATGCAACTGATGTGTGCGTGCGTGTGTGTTGTGTTGTGGTGTGTGTGTGTGTGTGTGTGTGTGTGTTGTAGTGTCTGCATTCACAACGCAGCACCTGTGTTGATGTCCTCGCCGACGATGCACACGTAAATGTTCAGCTTTGTTGCCTTGCTGTGGAGCTTGGCAATGGGAAAGAAGATGTCCTGCAAGCGGCGTATACGAGAAGAAGGTGTGATCACTGTGAACCTTTTTGTGATGGTTTGACAGGTGGAACATACATCTGCGACATCCTGAACCACACTTCGGCACACACACACACACAGAGAGACACACACACACACAGAGACACACAGAGACACACAGACACACACAGGCACACACACCTCGTCGAAGGTGGGGTTGTTGGTCGCATAGTGCTTTGCACTGAACTGCTTGAAAGGGGAAGAGCGGAGCTTCGGGCGTTTGGCCTGCAGGGCTTTCTCCACCTTGTACGGCTCCGCGGGAAGAAGAAAGACGCGCGCCTGTATGATGCCGCCCTCCGACAACCTGTTGTTGAAGAGCTGCTGGCTCTGCAGCAAGGAAACGCACAAGGTGGACCCGCGGTGCAGCACTTGGAACACCACCGCCACCCGCCCTTGTTGGTCGGGCCTCTGAATCGTTCGAAACCGAGACGTCAGCATGATGTATGTATGTGTGTGTGTATGTATGTGTGTGTGTGTGTGTGTGTGTGTGTGTGTGTGTGTGTGTGTGTGTGTCGCTGTCGGCAACACGGCTCACTGGCGCAAGGGGATGTGCTGGGAGAAGGCACTGCCAACTCACAAACAAGTGTACTAGCCCTCTCGCTCTGTGTCAAAGAGGGGGAACAACAACGAGGCCCAAAATGCGGCGTTGACTCATTTGGAAAGTTTACGGGCGTCATTAACAAGATGTGACACAACGGTAACGCCCACAATAAAGGAAGGACTGTATGACGGATGCGACAGAGCTATGCATGCGTGAACGTGTGTGCATCTTGGGCAGTAATGTAAAGGTGGCATACGTTCCGTTGCAAGGGAGGTGGCATTCATTCATTCATCCAGTTTCTGTTTGACGTGAGCAAACGCAAAAGCGTGATGAGATGGGGGCTGAAGGCTTGCGTGCAGTGGTGAATGCATACGTGCATGCCGGTTCTTGTGCAATCCTAATCACACAAGCACACACACACACACACATGCACGCACACACACACACACACACACACACACACACACACCTACACACACATGCACGCACACACACACACACACACACACACACAACACGAACCTGAACGTTGACTCTGATGCCGTTCTCGCTCTTCAAGATGAGGGACGCCTCCAAGGCCGGCTCGTACTGACAACGGATACACAGCGCACACAAATGTGGCATTGGGTTGAGTAAGGGCGATTGGAGGAGTGACAAGGCACCGAGAACACGCACACACATGCAGATACCCAGACAGAGAGGCAGATGCACACACACATACACACACACACGCACGCACACACACACACACACACTTCGATTGGGAGGAACTTGAAGCGCCGCAGGAGCTGACACATGACCAGTCTGATCTCGTTCATGGCAAAGTTATTGCCGATGCAAATTCTGTTCCCGACAGAGAACGGGAAGAAGGAGTACATGTCCGTGCGCTTCTGGTAGAACCTGCGATGGGGCCGCGAGGAAGGTGGGCGTGAAGCGAGTGAGCAAATTCAGTTTGAGTCTACGACACTTGCGTGTGCTGCAATGTTCCTTCCTTGTTAGAACGTAGCACGCACGTCACAGGCGGATGAGAGCTTGCAGGACAAGCAGGGCCCCCCTCAACAAGCGCGTGGTCATCACACAAAAGGTGACACGAGGAACTCGGTGCGCGTGCAGCGGAAGTAGTGATGCATTTTACCTGTACGGATTGTACGTCTCAGGGTCATCCCACACCGTCGGGTTGTGGTGCACTGCCATAGCTTCAATGCCAACTACACGTGGCCCAGGAAGAAAGCGAATGTGAGCGGGAATGGGGAAAGGAACATAGCGAGGAGAAAAGCAACATACACACACACACACATGCGCGCGCGAACAAACGTGAATGACGTACCGGCTGTTCCAGGCTGCAATTCAGCGCCGCACTCGAGTGTGAGCGGCTCCTCAAGGACTCGGGCGACGCCGGGCACAGGCGGATACATACGCATTGCCTGCAGGCAACAGCAGGAGTGGCCGGTTGGTGTTGTGGTGCGAAGCAAGCAAGCTCGTGACATGAGTGCAGCTGAGGCCTAGAGGTAATAAATGAAAGAAGCACAGGAAGAACAAGCCACAACGAAACACGTCTCGCACACACACACACACACAACCATACACACGCACAGTCGTTTTGAATCCACAGCCTTACCTCTCTGATGCAAGCGGTGAGAAACTCAAGATTTGCGAGGCCGTCATACTCTGGTGTCTCATCACCAAACGCATCAATGACCTCCTGTCTGCATTGCTCCTGGTACTCTGGGTGGCGCGAGAAAGCAAACGTGAGCCAACTCAGCGCTGCGGAGGTGGTGTCGTGGCCTGCGAAGAGGAACGTGTCGCACTGGCTGCGGATCTCTTCGTCCGTCAGTGCCGGGTTGCCGTCCTTGTCGCGCGAGAGGAGACAGATGTCCAGGAAGTCGAACAGCGCACGCCCAGAGGGGCTGTTGTGGTGTTGTGTATGTGGGTACGCGGGTAGTGGTTGTTTGTGATCATATATGTGTGTGTGTGTGCGTCAGAGAGAGAGAGAGAGAGAGAGAGAGAGAGAGAGAGAGAGAGAGAGAGAGAGAGAGAGAGAGAGAGAGAGAGAGAGAGAGAGAGAGAGAGAGAGAGAGAGAGAGAGAGAGAGAGAG